TAATTATATAAGCAATACAAGTGCATTTTAAAGCACTTCCAAAACACACTGAAGCATCCTAGACAAAGCTAGCATTGCCCTGAACACCCCCACCTCCCATCCCTGCTCTCATCGACTAGGCATGGTCTCTTCAGATCTTTCATGCTTGATTCACACGCATGTGTTCCCACAGAAAACACTTAAATTGTGGTTAAACTATGTCGTGTCATTCTGTGTGGGTTTTTTTTTTTAAACATATAAACTTAATGGTACGATCAAAGTTGTTCTGCAATGTCCCTCTTTATTTTTTAGCCACATGCTCAAACTCCCTAAGCTCCAGGGGACCTTCCCTGCCTTCAACAGCACTCCCTCCTGCTTGAAGGGTGAGGGTGGCAAATGTCTTCATGTTTATGCAACAGACTCTGCGTTTCTGTTTCTTGTTTTCCTTTCAGCTTTGCATTCATCTGGGGCCGTTTCTGGGTGGTTAAGAGGAAATACCTAACTTTGTTCTATTTTCCTGAAACCAGACATCTTTTGCATATTTTCTGTTGGGTGTGTTAGGGTTATTTCCTTTTTTAGGACAGTTTTTGCTATAACATGAAGAATATTTTTTATCACATCTTATAGTTGGTTATTACAAAAAAGCTATGTATTTGATTCTATTAATTTTTATCCATCATCTTGCTAAATTTGGGGGTAAGGGTTAATGCTACAGGGATCTAAAGATTAGATAGTGGTAATCTTACGGGATGTATCATTACATAATGTTTAATGCACCCACGTTGTTTTCTTGATTTTGGTAGATATTTTATAGTTGGTTAGGAGGAAGCCATTGTTTGCAAAAAAATACATACTGAAATATTTGGGGGTGATGCGGTATCTAAACAGTTCAAGAAACATGTTTTGTTGTATGTACCTTAACTTGCAATTTTATGTAAGTTTAAGACTTTTTTTAAGTTTATTTAGAAAGCACGTGGAAATGCCTGCTTCTAAGAAAGTGAAGACTCAGAAGATAGCCATGAAATCTTTTAGCCAAGAGGTTTCTGAATACATGCAGTTGTGATGCTTGCCAAGTCAGAGAAGCGGCCACGTCTGCTGGCAAGAGGCCACTAGCTGCACCAACTGCACCAGCCTGTTGGGCAGGTAGTGATGGTTCCAGGCAGCCCTGTGTGCACTCAGCCCTGTCTTCTCGGCTGAAGCTGCTAGTTCCGCCAGGCACGGCTTCTTGTCTCCTTTCTTCATGGCTGCATTCCACTCGACTCTTCTGGAATCTTGAACCCCACTATCGGCTTCCAAGGAAGATTACTGTGTCCTAGTCACAGCTGAACTTTTTCAAAAACAATTTACTAATGCTCTTGCAGGGCAAGGGCTAGACAAGTGACTTTTCAAGCCCCTTCCAATTCTGTGATTCTGGATATAAAAATTAGGTAATGAGCCCCTTGGGGATATCAATTCCTGTCAGCTGCTTCCCCTCCCCCGTCCACCTGCTCTGAGCAAGGGGCTGGGCAGAGAACTTCATGGGTAACCCAATTCAGCTTTCCGGGCAGTGGATTAAAGGGAAGCCTTTAAATACTTCCAGTTGTCGCCCTTCTCCAGGCAGTTTCTGGGAACATGTCCACTTAGTTCAAACAATATTCTGGGGTTTTCTTTAGGAGTACTCTCTTAAGAAATACTGAATGTCAGTCTCATGAATCAGCTCAGTCACTTTCAGAATCTGAGGTCTTTCATACACAGAGAGAAACCGAAGCTACAAATGGACAACAGCCAGAACATATATAAAAATAGAACTTTGACCCACAACCTGCAGCAGCCTGCCTGGGAAACCGGCCCCTTATCTACAATAAACAACCCAGGAAGCCAGCCTGCTGTGAGTCAGACCTGCCGTCACCAGATGGCCATCTCTAGTGACCCTCCAGGAGGGTGAGTAATAACTTCTGGAGCCATCAGCCCCAAATGTCCAGGGCTGGATCATTAACTGACAGCTTCCCTCACTTGTGTCCCTGATTCCGACTCAGGACCAACCAGAGAAAGCCAACTATGACCCCTAACCAATCACATGGGACTGCCGCTCCTGGTTACTACTCCAGCGCCCCAGGCCAGTGCCTGGCCCCATCAGGGCACACTAGAGCTGTCCCTGTGTCCACTGTAAGCTCCCCCCGCCGGCCTGCCTTCAGTCTCCCCCAAATGCAAGGGATGATGGCCAACACCCTGCTATAGAGCCCGCTCTGAATAATCAGCCTTTGTTTTTCTCATTTGGGTAGAGTTTATTTCCACAATATTTAAGATATTTAAATACACATATTATCCCACTTGATCCTCACAAGCCCACAAGAAGGGTGGAGCAGGCACCCCTCCACGTCCGTAAAGACACAGAACGCCACAGGACCCACCTGAAGCTGCTCAAGTTCAGGGCCAACAACAGAATTAGGTCATCTGATGTTTCAACCTGGGTCCTTTCCAAGGCACTCCTTGATACACAGTATTACTTATTACTGTTACCTTATATCCTGAGGCTACACTGAAAATCAAGATTCTTAAAGATAATTTGGTAGGTGATTTTTGAAGTTTTCATTGGATTTTGTACAGGGTCTTTAACTCCATTAAAAATCCCTTCCTGACACTGTGTCCGTAGCATAACCCAGTTTCCCCCACCTCTCCGAGTAACAGGGAAACTTGAGTTGAGACCACCCAGAAATGCAGAGTAGGATGCTGTCAACAAGACTCCCTTGGCTCCACTGGAATCCCGCCTCCTGCCTGACGCCTGACGTTCATCAAGCCTCTTTAACAAGCACACGTGCTCTGACCTCCAACTCTGCCGTGGATCTCCACTATCCAACCGTGAGCCAAAGCTCCTCTGCCCTGCCAACAAAGCTGTCCTGTCGATGCTGAATGCATACTCTGCACCAGCCTTTGTGCCAGGGATACTCACATGTGTAAACTGTCCCTCCTGCCATTAAACCCAGCTTCACAGGTGACAAAATATAATCCTTATGGTGCATTAGACCAAGACATCTCAGCCTGCCATTTGAGAATATGTAGGGTTTCACTGGTGGGCTTACAGGGGCATAAACCCCCAAACTGCAGGTGATATTTGCTGCCAATGTGCATTTTCTGGGAAGAAATCCTATTATGTTTGTTAAAGGACAATTTTTTAAAAGTAAAATCAGTACTCTCATATAGAGTATAAAATGAACACATGTCAAATAGTCTATTTAACTCACTAATTAATGAGGGAACCAGTAAGATGTTGAAGAAAAATTTAAAGAAGAATTTAACAAAAATTTAAAGTACTACACATTTATAGTAGTAAAGGAATATTGATGCAAAACTGGCAAAACCAACCAATATCTATAGGGTAATAATCAACTGCACTCCACCTAACAGAATTTGCATTTCTACAAATAAAATTTATCTGTAGTCTCTCAGTTTTCTATATAAATTACAGAGTTGTAGGGGCACAGTCAGTTAAGCGTCCAACCCTTGGTTTCGGCTCAGGTTCTGATCTCAGGGTCCTGGTATCAATCCCCACATCTGGCTCTGTGCTCAGCATGAAGTCTGCTTGAGATTCTCTCTTTCCCTCTCCTTCTGCCCCTCCTGCTCATGCTTACTCTCTCTCTCTCTCTCAAATAAATAAATAAATCTTTTTTAAAAATAAATAAATCAATCACAGAGTTGTAGAATAGCTCAAAGCCAAAAACAGTGGGATAACCTGGTTGGTGAACTAGACAGGCATCCACTAATCCTGCTTTTATATTTTCCCCATTTCAAAGTCTTTCTGAATCTTTCCCTACATCTTCCTTGTGATCATAATAATGTCAAAGATTACTTCTAATCACAAAATAAGGTTGGTCTCATTAGGTTTGGCCTGATTGTCTACATAGTTGCAGCAAGAGTGTTATTTTACTTTGTCAACGGGCCATGGTAAGAGTGAATCGGAAATCAATAACCTTCCACAGAAGAAAGCACCAGGCCCAAATGATTTCACTGACGAATTCTATCAAAATTTAAGAAAGAGGGGCGCCTGGGTGGCTCAGTTGGTTAAGCAACTGCCTTCGGCTCAGGTCATGATCCTGGAGTCCCTGGATCGAGTCCCGCATCGGGCTCCCTGCTCTGCAGGGGGTCTGCTTCGTCCTCTGACCCTATCCCCTCTAATGTGTTCTCTCTCTCTCATTCTCTCTCTCTCAAATAAATAAATAAAATCTTTAAAAAAAAAAATTTAAGAAAGAAATGATAGCATTTCTGCACAATCTCTTCCAGAGAATAGAATCCATTCTATAAGATTAGCATCACCATAACGCCAAAGCCAGACAAAGACATTACAAGAAAGGAAAACTATGGACCAATATTTTCTCATGAATGTGGATGCACAAATTCCCCCAAACTTGTTGGCAAACAAATCTAACAATGTATAAAAAGAACTATATACCATGGGCAAGTGGGATTTATTCCAGGTGTGCAAGGCTGGTTTGACATGAAAAAATCTATTAATATGGTCTGTCCCATAAACAGGCTAAAGAAGAAAAATCATGTGATCCTATCCACTAATGCAGAAAATAACTCCATTGGTAAGTCTGGTGTGTATCCCCCATTGAAAGCCACTGGCTTGGAAGATGCTAGATTCAAATTAAAGACAGTGGCCAATCAACATTTTAGATAATGTCTGAAACTTGTTCCCTGTTATCCCAGAACTTCCACCAAAGTGGGAAAACTGGACAGCATTATAGGACACTGTGGATAGCAGGGTATTGACAAATTCTCAGGGACTGCCCATGAAGCCTTCCATTTCTGAAGTATGTATGTTAATGAACTTTATTTCATCTATTTGAATTTAACCGAGGCAAGGCTGAACATCTCTTCTGCTTTGACCATTCCTCCCACGAAACCATGAAAGAGCTTCAGTGTAGAGCGAAACCAGAACGTATGGAATGGGGAATCTCACGCCTGCACCTCAGGAAAACAAAGCCTGAGAGCCGACAGACTGATTTCCTGAAAACGCCGGACTTAGAGAAAACCGCACTTACCCCCTGACCAACGCGTGCCCGCCATGGGTCGGTCTCCATCCTCAAGCCAGGGAACTCACTCACTGCTGGGACTCAGGCTGGACGCCCCCTCTTTGCACTCCCGCCCGTGCGTGCAGCCGTCCCGGGCCTTCCACGGGCTCCTGGCCGCTCGCTACAGCGCCCGTCTCCCCAGCTGCAATCCCTCCGCTGTTCCCGAATGAGCTCAGGGTCTGGTCGGTGGAGCTTGCCTCAGTTTACCTCTTTATTCGGGTTGACAAAAGTTTATAATGGTGGTGACTCAGGAGAGAAAAATGATGTTCCATTGGAAAACTATAGCACATCTTCTTGGGCATTTAAATGCGAGTCCTATTCGTTCTCTTCAAGGTTTTGTTACATCTCTGTAAACTGGACCATACACATATATAAAATCACTCCGCTGTGTGCCTTGGACTTACACAGTGTTATATGTCAACTACATCTCAGTACAGCTGGACTGGATCCTGAATTCTAGCTTCCTCCAGTACCTCACTACCACTCTCCGCACCCACGTTTCCGATTTTTCTCCCACCCTCTGTCTTGGAACGACTAAAAATTAAAACTGTCCTTTTCCCGAAGCCTGGTGGGGGAAGCTGGAAAACTCGATAAAATCTTCAGAGGAACCACTGCAACAGCTCACGTTTGGACAACTTTCCCACGGTGGCTGTGTGGGCTGCTCAGAAAGTTCACCGGAACTCTTGATGACATCACCAGAGACGTTGAAAAACTGCAAACCAGGAAAAGAGGTCAGATTGCCATCTCCATCTGGAGATGTTTGGAGCCCAAAGTCTAGAAGTCTCCAATGACTGCCCACTGGCCTCAGAAACTGACTCTGTGGTTTGTTCTAACTTTTAACCGTAGTTTCTATTTGTTTCCGTTCAAATGCCAAGGACCTTGAGACAGTGTCAATGGGTATGGGATGATCTACTCTGGACATGAACCTTCTTGGGAAGTTTCAGATGGGAGAATGATGGGGCTCAGAACAAGTTACTCTAAAATAGATCACCGTGGCATATTGACTAACTAAGCTGTAGGAGTTTGAGAAAATGGCCACGACAGGAAGGTCACTCTGACCTCTACACACCTCACCGTTGTCTCCTGAAACAGGTCATAAGACCCTCATATGGGAGGTGCCCTCCTTATACCCTGAAGAAAGGAGTGTCTATATCTCTGAAGACAAAGGAATACAGAGACCCTAACAAGCAGACCTCACTGTTTCCCACCCGTCACTACTCTCCCCTCCTTCACCTGCCTACACCTGTCCTGTTCCTCCACCACCGCCCACTCCTCATCTAACCCAGGATAAAACACTCCGTGAACTCTGTCTTCTTGACTTCATTCCTTATGCTGTCTTCTGTTTCACATAAAATTTATCTTGAATATATTTGTATGCTTTTCTCCTGTTAACCTGTGTCTGTTGGTTTAATTTTCAGACCCATCGAGGAACCATAAGAGGGTGGAGGAAAACCTTTTCTACCCCTATCAGAGCTACGGTAACCACCACCATAGCCCAGTGCTTCCCAAATTTAGTGGGCACGTGTATCTCCTAGAGATCTGGTGCAAATGCACGTTCTAAGTCAAGAGATCTGAGCTGGGCCCCAAGCCTGCATTTCTAATAAGCTTCCAGGGTAATGCTGTGGACAGAGACAAAGGATCTGCAGGACTGAGGAAGGAACCAGAACCCAAAACAGGAGCAAGTAGACCAGATCTCCAAGGCCCAACCAGCCTCCCACTCCTTCCCAGTCACAGACCCTGAGCATGACCCTCCCCCACACAGAGGGCAGGACGAGGCTCACCTCTCGACATGACATCACAGGTCCCCGGACATTCCACAGTATCGTGGAGACCAAGGTGGGCGAAGCTGAGGGCCTTAGGGGAAGGTCTTCCTCCTTCGGCTGGAGAGAACATGGCAGGGAACAGAGGAGTGACCCTGTTCGTCCTGCTGCTATCTTGCTGGCATGAAGCCAAGCTCCAACCGATCAATATGACTTCAGGTACGGTCACAAGTGGATTATCGAGGCGGTCGAAACGCTCGCCTCCCCGGGGCTGAATCCGGCCACCACGGCTTCTCCCCCGGGGCCTTCCCTACCTTTCCCAATTCATCGTTTATTTCTGGGGGAGAATGGAGTGCGCTGAACCGTTTTCTATCTTTGAAGACTTTTTTTTTTTAAGATTTTATTTATTTATTTGACAGAGAGAGAGACAGCGAGAGAGGGAACACAAGCAGGGGGAGTGGGAGAGGGAGAAGCAGGCTCCCCGCCGAGCAGGGAGCCCGATGTGGGGCTCGATTCCAGGACCCTGGAATCATGACCTGAGCCAAAGGCAGACGCTTAACGACTGAGCCCCCCGGGCACCCCTCTTTGAAGCCTTTTTAAGCCAGAACTCCATAGGACGCAATCGCCTTTATTATGGAAAATGTGTCACTCGCCCAGAGTCGAGGAATATAGCGTAAAGAACCCGCACCCCGGGTGTCAGCTGCACACCGGCTGGGGTCCCGCACCTTGCGCGACACGTATTCTCATTGCTCCTGGGAGCGCGGTAGCCGCGTCCGGCGGGCCCCGTCCTTCCACGCACACCTCTTCTTGCTAAGCGAAGCCGGTTTTCAGCCACAGGCAGCGTCCTTAACACGCGGGCACGGGCCGGATTCAGTCCCCCGCGGTCCCAGAGGCCCTCGCTGGGGACAGTTCCAATCACCCCCGGCGGGCCCCCGCGCACCCCTGGCTCCCGTCCTCGTCCTGGCCCCTTCGGCGTGGAGGATCAGAGCGGCCCGGGGAGGCGGGGACTCGCAGGCCGTGAGGGCACAGGGCGGCAGGAAGGGGTGCTCCGTGACCCCCCACTTCCCGCCAGGAAGCTCCGTGCTCAGGCCACCTGCCCCCCTCGTCCACCTTCCTCAGAGGTCCCCAAAGACGGAAGGAAACGGGCCGGGACGGTGCCCCAGCCCCAGCTCCCCGGGGTGGACGCGCGGGCCCTGGAGGGTCCCCCAGGGGTTGGTGCGGCTCTCCTGGGAGCAGGCCCCCGGCCTCGGCCCCGAGCCCCACACGGCGCTCCCCCTCCCGGCCTCGCCGTGCCCGCGCTGACCCGAGGGGCCAGGCCAGCTGGCCGGGGCGGGGGTGAGAAGGCAGGCGGTCAGGGAAGACGCGAACGTCCCCAGCGTCCTTGTCTCAAGGAGCCGGAGCTCCCAGGCGCCTACAGAGGAGTGTCCTTTGTGCGGCTGTGGGAGCCGAAGGGTCTGTGACACGTGGGGGCCGAGTGTCGCCCACGGCACCGCGCGTCCCTCCAGCCCCTTCCTGCTCACGACTGTCGCGAGCCCGCGTCCCCGGGGCCGGGCCCCAGCGCGGAGGGACGGAGCGCTCCTGCGGCCGCCACAGCCAGCCTGCCCCTCCCAGACCGGCTCTCCTGCCCAGACGGGGAGCCCTGGGGGACCGCCGGCCTCTGCCCCGGCTCGGAAGACCAGTTAAGGGCCGAAATCCTTTCCTGAAAGCGAACACGGGTTCCTATGGCCGCAGCCGGGCACAGGGGCCCCACAAAGGCCAGCTGTGGCCACTCGCGCTGACCGAAAGCGCAGGCACAGAGACGGGGTGGGGACGCAGGAAAGCTTATCTCAGTGAGACCGAAGCCGGGAAGACGGCGGACTACACCTCCCAGGTGCCGAAACCACCCGCAGGCTTCTATGAGGAAACGGGGGCCAGAGGCCGGCAGGTGCGGGCAGGTGGGCGGAAAGGTCCGGTCGGTGTCTCGGTCCGTCCCGGGCAGGGTCTGGCCGGCCCCGGGCAGGCCTTACCCCGAGGGGCAATGTCGGTTCCCATCCGAGGATGTTGGCCCGTCTCTCGCCTGAGTGAAGAGATAAGCCGGAAAGAAGCACTTCATCAATTAGAAAGTTTGAGGTCAAAATGGAGGTAGTTGAAGTCCCGTTCATGCTTCCGGGGGCTCACCGCCTCCCCGGACAGCGCTGCCGTCGGCCACACGGGTCGGCCTGACCCCGAGGAGAGACTGGGGCGTCAGCCATGGGCCCGGTTTGCCTCGTTTGCCCCAAATTAACCAGAGCTCAACTGCAGAGGTCCGCAGGAGCCCTCCCCGGTGCCCAGGTTGGGCACTGTGCAAATCTGGAGGAGGAGGGGCCGGGGGATCCTGGTAACTCCGGCGCCTGGCGGTTCGAAGCCCAGAGACTGTCAGTCGGGGGTGACAACAGGCGAAACACGTCCCCGCAACCGCAGTTGACGACGCACTTTAAAAACCGTGCGCATATTATAAGACATAAATATTTTTCTGCACGCGCTTACTGGCCGACTCGCACAATACTTCCATTATAATGACGGGACAGACACAAAATGAAAAGAATATTTTTAACAAAGTGCCTGCAGACGCAGCTGTACCCATTCTTAATGACTCATTAATGCCTCATCCAAAGAGAACTGTACTTTTGTTTGCTTCGTTTACGGAAGGTCAGCACACTGGGAAGCGATTGTCATCTCAGCGCAGACCTTTTTACATAGATTTCCTGCATTGTTCCAAGCCCTCTGCGCGCAGATGAGTCCATTGGTATGCAGATTGTCCATCATTAAACCCATTTGAAAATCAGCGGCGTCATTGGTTTACTGTTGGAACCCGAGCGTCTACAGACGCCGCTGGCTTGCTCTGCAGCCGGTGGCCCTGCCCGGCCGGTCCCGGGGCTGCCCTCTCCCCTCCGGGAGCCTGTGGCTGCCTGGGGGCTGGACGAGAGGCTGACCTGGACCTCGAGTCGAGGACAGGGTCCAGGATCGCCCCGCTCTGAGCCAGAAGAGTGGCAGGGAGCCCCCGGCTGGTGCTGCCGCCACGGGGAACCCGCATCAGTCACCGCACACAGCCGGGTCCCCAGCGCGGCGGGTCCCAGAGGCTGCAGCTCAGGCGTCCAGGGAGCCCACGGAAGTCTGCCGTCTGGCCCGGCCCCCTCCCCCGGGAGAGCCCGCGTCTTACCTGTAGACAGACCGCCTGGAATGGCTGTGCTGACGAGGGGGACCCCCTCCCCACCGGGGAACCCCAAGGGGAACAGCAGTCCACACTCCCGTTCCCCAGATCCTATCCCTGAGCCTCCAGTCGGCGAGGAGGCGACAGTGTGCTTTTTGCACAAGGA